AGAACGTTTTCATCAGAATATTTCCAAGACTGCCATCATAATCCAAGTGACTGGGAGATAGCTAACTGATATCAAAGGCAGATAATTTGCTCAGAGAAGAAAAATAATTCTGCCAGAATCCAGAAGAAAAGAGAGCTGTGAATATTTATAGAATGGCAAGTCTTTTACATTTTGTAAAATATATAGTATGGCAGTCTTATGAATACTAACAAACACTGAAGAAAAGTGACAGATTAATAGTACCATTAATAAAATTCAAGAAGCTGAAATTGCCTAAGAACTCTTATCAATCCCTTTATTAATTAGGAAAAAAAATCTGGGTGTGTTCCCATCTCACTATTCAAAAGCCAAAAGAATCTGTATCTAAGATAAACAGTGTAAGAATAGGCTGGGGCTGGGCATAGTGGCACACTCCTTTAGTCCCAGCACTCCAAAGGCAGAGGCAGATGGATCTCTGTGAGATCGAGGTCAGCCTTGTCTACATGGCAGGCCAACTGGGGCTACAGGGAGGCCCTGTCTCAAAACAAACAAGCCGAGTGTGGTGGCACACGTCTTTAATCCCAACACTAGGGAGGCAGGGGCAGGCAGATCTCTGTGAGTTCAAGGCCAACCTGGTCTACATAGTGAGTTCCAGGACAGCTGGGGCTACAGGGAGACCCTGTCTCAAAAAGACCAAAAAAAAAAAAAATGTAACAAGCAAAAAATGAATAGGTGGGGAGGTGGTTCCATGGGTAAAGCGCCTACCTCTGTGCAAGCAAAAGAATCTGAGGTCAGTGCCTAGCACAGAGCCAAGTGACCTGCCTCTGTAATCCCAGTGGTTGGAAAGAGGAGACAGGGATCCCCTAGAGCTCATTGGCCAGCCAGTCTCACCAAATTGATGAACTCCAAGTTCAGTGACACATCCCATTTTAAAAATTAAGCTGGAAGAGAGTGATCAAGAAAGACACCCAACATTGGCCTCTCACCCCAATATGAACACAAACACATGCATATACCTGTTTGGAAATACACACACAAAGAATTCTTATATTAGCTTTTACCAAAGAGGTAATTGTCAGCTTTCAAGTCACTAGATCCCACAGTCAATCAATCTCGGTTTACTAAAATGATTACCACATACACACTCACCCCATATCAGACTGTCAACAAACACAGAACAATGCTTATCACTCAGATGTGCATCTTGGCTGAAACCTCAGTGTAGAGTTTATTCCCATCTTAGACTCTGAAATGTCAAACTACCAGTTGAGTGAAAGCTGTAATAAGCTCCTCCAACTCCTGACTTTGCTATTTCACAATGCCAGTTTAAAAGGGAAAAAGCACTATTGAAGGATAAAAAGCAGCTGATATCACTAGATGAAATATTAAGAAACTCATAAATGGTGAAAATGAATGAGAATGCTTAGATATTTTTCACAGGCAACACACAGACCCTGTATCTCAAAAGAATTATGATCCAGTGAGCCAAAGAGAAATCAGCCTTCTTGTTTAAAAAAGAAAAATAGAGATTCCATTTTTAAAAAAATCCTAATCTTATTTCAGCTAAAAATTGAGATGTTTAATAACTAAAAAAAAAAAAAAAAAAAAAAAAAAAAAAACGTAAAGGCAGATCACTGTTTTTAGCATTAATTTACAAGTCAGGGTCAACAACCCCTGGCCTCTGAACAGCTGGTTCTGTCTTCCTCACAGGCATTATATAGAAGAGAAAGTGCTCACAAACACTGGTACTGGCTTTGACATTCCACAGACTAATCAGCTAAGCTTTCTTCAGTTACAGATTTATAGAGACTAGTTACCTGGTCTTTTCTCAACACACAAGATTAGTGTGATTTTTTAATGACCAATAGCTATAAACAATGTAAATCACAATTTACAGAAACTTTTTTTCATACTGATTCTATGCACTACTTTGGTATTCCACAGTAAAATATACAGTTGCAGGTTTCCATGTGTTAATAGTTACTTAAATAACTTTTAGAAAACATTAATTTAAAGAATACAAGTACTGGCGCTGGAGAAATGGCTCAGTGGTTAAGAGCCTTGACTGCTATTGCAGAGGACCCAGGTTCAATTCCCAACACCCACATGGTAGCTAACAACTATCTGTAGCTCTAGTTCCAGGGGATCTGACAATGACTTCTGACCTCCGCTCATACAGTGCATCTGCACACACATATGCAATACACTCATACACGTAAAATAAAAATATAAACAAAAATTTTAAAAAAGAATACAAGTAGTAAGCAGATTGATGGGACTTTAATGATAAAGCACAAAATCCAAAACTCATGTTACTCCAACTCACAATTAAAGAACAAGGATTTACACTGTCACTTATTACCATATACTAAATATGGATCCTTATATTTACAGAAAAGCATACCATACACCACTCATCAAAGAAGCTTCTTTTTGCAGCATATGGAGGCTACTGCAGAATTCCACAACTGGTCAGACACAGAGGCTATACATCTGAGAGATGCCAAGTACTAGGTGACACATCTACAGCTGAACCTCTACACTTAAGGCTCGTAGAACATAGTGGATCAAGGGGTAGAGAGAAAACTAATA